CCCCCTGCAGATCCCCCCATATACTGTATACACCACGTGTCTGTATACAGAGGAGGAGATATTCTAAACACGGGAGGCATCAGTCATAGAAAAGATTTATTCAGAATCCAGGTCAGTACAGGGCAGGAAGACTTCTCATTGGGATTCATGTTCTTCTTCAGCTTCCTCTCCAACATACAGAACATAAACTTCTGAGGATCAAAAATAAAAGGATGTCGATGTTCAAAAGTTTACCTAAAACAAACAAAAAACTAAATCAGCACAAGGGACAGGAGTTGTGTCGGTTGTGCTGATGTGTCCTCTTCCTCCTCCAATGCCCAACCCCCACCCACCCTGCCACAATATTCTGCTGCGGCGGGGGTTAAGGGAACTAATCAAGCGTGCCTGAAAATGCCCGCCGTTTGTGCCCAGCTGATCCATTCATAGAAGCCATTATTACAGTTTCCACGAATGAATCAGGATCTGTGAATGGAGGACAGGTGGATGATGGGCAGGCCGGATGACTGAAAGCCCCCCCAGACCGTGTTTCACTCACGAAGCTGTAGCAAGGCTATTATGAATGAAACAACAGAATCTATGAATGGAGGACAGGCTGGATGATGGACAGGCTGGGTGATTGACCCCCCCCCCCCCCCCCCCATAGACCTTGTTTCATGAAGCTTTAGTATGGCTATTAGAAATGAAACAACAGGATCTATGAATGGAGGACAAGTGGGTGATGGACAGGCAGATGATTGATAGCACCCCCCCCTCCAATTCATAGACTGTGTTTCATTCATGGAAGATGTAGGACAGCTTTAGTATGGCTATTATAAATTAAACAACAGGATCTATGATTGGAGGACAGGCATACGACTGAAATTCCCCCTCCCATTCATAGACCATGTTTCATTCTTCCACTTCCAATGCAACCCCCACCCCTCACAATGTAATCTTTCGATGGAGGACAGGCAGATGATTGAGAGTCCCCTCCCCCAATTCATAGAACTTTATTCATTTATGGAAGCTGTAATGTGGCTTTTATGAATGAAACAACAGGACCTATGAATGGAGGACAGGCATATGATTTAAAAACTCCCATTTATAGACCATGTTTCATTCTTCCTCCTCCAATGCACCCCCCCCCCCCCCAATTCCATTTTTATGAATGAAACTCCAATGCACCCCCCCCCCCATAGACCATTTTCTTCCTCCTCCAATGCAACAGGACCCCCCCCCCCCCCCAATTTTCATTTTTAGTGGCTAATGAAACAACAGGATCTATGAATGGAGGGCAGGTGGATGATGGACAGCCCGGATGACTGAAAGCCATCCCCCCATAGACCGTGTTTCATTCAGTAAGCTGTAGTAAGGCTATGATGAATGAAACAACAGGATCTATAAATGGAGGACAGGCATATCACGGAAAACTCCCCCCTCTCATTGACAGACCACGCTTTATTCTTCCTCTTCCAATGCAGCCCCAAAACATCACACTATCATCTTTTGATGAAGCGGGGTTACATAAAACAATCAAGGGCCATTTCAGTTCCAGTGAATGAAACAGGATCTATGAATGGAGGACAGGCAGATGACTGAGAGCCCCTCCCCCAATTCATAGACCTTTTTTCATTTATGGAAGCTGTAATGCGACTTTAATGAATGAAACAACAGGATCTATGAATGGAGGACAGGAATATGATTAAAAGCCCCCCCTTCCTATTTATAGACCATGTTTCATTTTTCCTCCTCCAGTGCACCCCCCCCCCCCCCCCCATAATCGTCCGATGACGCAGTTTCCATTGAATTAATCAAGAGCTGTTTCCACCCAGCTGCTCCATTCACAGAAGCCATTACTACAGCTCCCAGGAAGAATGAAGCAGGATGTATGAATGAAGGACAGGAAAATGATTGAAAGCCCCTCCCCCAATTCATAGACCTTTTTTTAATTTATGGAAGTTGTCATGCGGCTTTTATGAATGAAACAACAGGATCTATGAATGGAGAACAGGAGATGATTGAAAGCTCCTCCCCCCAATTCATAGACCTTTTTTTAATTCATGGTACCTGTAATGCGGCTTTTACGAATGAGACAACAGGATCTATGAAATGGAGGTCAGGCAGATGATTGAAAGCCCCCTCCCCCAATTCATAGACCATTTTTTCATTTATGGAAGCTGTAATGCGGCTTTTTATGAATGAGACAACAGAATCTATGATTGGAACATGTGAATGATGGACAGGCATATGACTGAAAATCTCCTCCCCCAATTCATAGACTGCGTTTCATTCATGGAATCTATAAATTCAGCTTTTTATGCATGAAACAACAGAATCTATGAATGGAAAAACAGGCAGATGACTGAAAGCTGCCCCCCCACCTCCATTCCTAGACCATATTAAAAAAAATTATCCCTCTCCCAAATGCCCCTTCCTCCCTATTACCACATCACAATCTTCCGATGCAGCAGGGGTTAATAGAACTAATCAAGAGCACCCCGCCATATCAACTCTCCTGAATAAAACAGGATCTATGAATGGAGGACAACAGGGGGCTTTCAATTGTTCACACACCCTCCATTCATTCATAGAAAATTAAGAGCTTCAGTGAATGGAGGAGGAGGGGGGCTTTTCAATTGTTCACACGTCCCCACCATTCATTCATACAAAATTACAGCTTCTATGAATGGAGAAGGGGGGCCTTTCAATTGTTCACACGTCCCTCATTCATTCATTCCTCCCTATTACACTTCACAATCTGAATGGAGGAGGGGGGAACTTTCAATTGTTCACAAAACCGCCACCATTCATTCATAATAAATTACAGCTTCTATGAATGGAGGTGGGGGGGCCTTTCAATTGTTCACACACCCTCCATTCATTTGTTCACACACCCTCCATCATAGAAAATTAGAGCTTCAGTGAATGGAGGAGGGGGGCCTTTCAATTGTTCACACATCCTCCATTCATTCATAGAAAATTCTATGAATGGAGGAGGGGGGCAGAAAGGGCACACATAGGCCCTCTTGATGAGTGCCTGTCATGGCCGCATAGTTCTATTAATCCGCAATGCACAGGAAGGCATCCACAAAGGAGGACACGGCCGCACAAGGGACACCCCTCACTGAAGGTATGTCCCTTGTGCTGATTTTTTTTTTATTTTAGGTAAACTTATGGCCATACGCGGCTCGAATTCCGAACGATTTTTCATCCGAAAATCGAAACGTCGTTCGTTCTGTAATCCGATGGTTGCCACCAATGATGTAAAAAAATCGGTCGTTTTTCACGAATTTTCCAGCGTTCTCGATAAACGAAATGGTGAGGAACCACAAAAATCGGCCAATGTCATCGCCCCACTAATAGCCGATTATTCTTAGGTCCGATTTTTGTACGAAAATCGTTTGGAATTTGAACCATGCATGGCCTGCGTTAGGCGTTAATGCTTTTCAGCAGAGGTTGATGAGCGGAGTGTGGAGGGTTGTGCGGGAAGATCCACACCGAGGACAGCAATGATTTTCCTACAGCTTCTATATAGTTCCAATGAAGGTCGAGCCGGGGTGGGGGAGGGGCTGTGAGAGCTCGGTGAAGGATGCCAAACCGTGAGGTCCATGGGAAAACAACAATAAGTGAGTTCCAGCTCGTCATCTTAAAGAGTCCATAATCATTGGCTGTTGGTAAAACCAAGACAATAGGAAGGTAAAAAGGTCACCGACGCGTTTCAGGAGGTCAACAATTCCCTTTATCAGGGTTTATATGGAACGATTAGCAAATAATCAATACCCAAGCTGCTCCGACAATAGTGCTCCCGAAATTAGACGCATTTCAGCTGTGATAGCCGAAACGCGTTAGAGCTGGTCTATACAATCAAAATCTTTACTGGATACATACTAAAACCCACTGGTAACAATCTAACGTGTTTCAGCTGTGATAGCCTTCCTCATAGCACCATGCTATGAGGAAAGCTGTCACAGCCGAAACACGTTAGGGCTGCTCCATTAAATCAAAATCTCTACTGGATACAGAATACTAAAACCCATTGGTAACAAGCGAACGCATTTCAGTTGTGAGCCTTCCTCATAGCACCGTGCTATGAGGAAGGCTGTTACAGCCAAAACGCGTTAGCCTGGTCCATAGAATCAAAATCTTTATTGACTACATACTAAAACTCACTGGTAACAATCTAACACATTTCAGCTGCGATAGCCTTCCTCCTAGCACCGTGCTAGGAGGAAGGCTGTCACAGCCGAAACGTGTTAGACTGGTCCATATAATCAAAATCTTTATTAGCTTGCTACCAGTGGGTTTTAGGATGTAGCCAATAAAGATTTGTATTTTATGGACCAGTCTAACGTGTTTCGGCTGTGACAGCCTTCCTCATAGCACGGTGCTATGAGGAAGGCTATCAGCTGAAACGCGTTAGCTTGTTACCAATGGGTTTTAGTATGTATCCAACGCGTTTCAGCTGATAGCCTTCCTCATAGCACCGTGCTAGGAGGAAGGCTGTCACAGCCGAAAAGCGTTAGACTGGTCCATAACATACAAATCTTTATTGGCTACATACTAAAACCCACTGGTAGCAAACTAATGCGTTTCAGCTGTGATAGCACCGTGCTATGAGGAAGGCTATCACAGCCGAAACGCGTTACCTTGTGACCAGTGGGTTTTGGTACGTAGCCAATAAAGATTTTGATTTTATGGACCAGCCTTTCTCAACCGGGGTGCAGCGGCATCCTTGCTGAGAATGGCATTCAGATTGCACGGAGCTTCCACTGCTCTGCTGAACGGTCCATGGGCAGAGCGCGAACGCACTCCTGCACCAATAAGGAGGTGCCTGAATCCCACTGGTAGCAACGGAGGAGGTGTCTGGAGCAGCAGGGAGTCTGGGCACACAGGGTTGCTGATAGCGCTTTACGGCTCGAGCGGGGGTGAGTTTCTGGCTCCCTCTGCTGGGGAATATCTGTTGGGGGTGGAGGAGACGTGGAAAAAAAAAAAATGACTGACACCACCAACACCGATGGCATCAATGCTCTGCAAAAGGGAGGCTAACAAAACCTGCAGAGCGCAGAGGTAACAGGCAAGGACAACTTGGTCTGACCAGGTGTTGCTGCTTGACACCCAGGTGCCCAGGCGTTGGTGACACAGAGGTGCCCACATGGGTGCTGGCGACATGGAGGCACCCAGTTGGGTGCTGGCGACATGGAGGCGCCCAGGTGGGTGCTGGTGACATGGAGGTGCCCAGGTGTTGGCGACATGGCAGTGCCCAGGTGGGTGCTGTTGACACTGTAGGTGCCCAGATGGGTGTTGGTGACATGGAGGCGCCCAGGAGGCGCCCATGGGTGCTGGCGACATGGAGGCGCCCAGTTGGGTGCTGGCGACATGGAGGCGCCCAGGTGGGTGCTGGTGACATGGCGGTGCCCAGGTGGGTGCTGGTGACATGGCGGTGCCCAGGTGGGTGCTGGCGACATGGCGGTGCCCAGGTGTTGGCGACATGGCAGTGCCCAGGTGGGTGCTGTTGACACTGTAGGTGCCCAGATGGGTGTTGGTGACATGGAGGTGCCCAGGTGGGTGCTGGTGACATGGAGGTGCCCAGACTTGCATGATATGTTGTTGGCAACATGGCAGTGCCCAGGTGTGTTGTTGGCAACATGGAGATGCCCAGGTGTTGCTGGTGACATGGCAGTGCCCAGAACTTGCTGTTGACACGAGGTGCCCAGGTGGGTGCTGGTGACATGGAGGTGCCCAGAACTTGCTGTTGACACTGGAGGTGCCCAGGTGGGTGCTGGTGACATGGAGGTGCCCAAGTGTTGTTGATAACATGGTAATGCCCAGGTGTTGTAACATGGCAGTGCCCAGGTGTTGTTGGCGACATGGCAGTGCCCAGGTGTTGTTGGCGAGGCAGTGCCCAGGTGTTGTTGGCGACATGGCAGTGCCCAGGTGTTGTTGGCGACACGGCAGTGCTCAGATGCATGACATGGTGGTGGTGACCCCAGCACATCTGCTAAAGAGCAGCACATTTGTGTGTCGGGAACACGTGTCATTTTGCACGCGTTCCTCGACACACAGTACACTGGGGTGCCCCAAGATTGCAAATTCTTTTCAAGGGGCGCCCCACCTGGAAAAAGTTTGAGAAACACCAATATGGACTACACCAAGTTTCTGGTTTATATAGAAACATGGCTACCAAAAAAAATCACCTGGAATGTGGTATATGGCAGGAAGTCACAATGGACTTGTGCTGGAGGTACAGCTTAGAGTCCTACAGAAAGCTTTGCCATCTTTCCAAAAAGTCCCCGATGAAGGGCGATTGTTGGCCCCCAAAACACGCTAGCTATCTTTTACCTTCCTGTTCTCTTGGATAATCAACAAGAAATGATTATGGAGCGAATCCCAACCACTCCACTACAAGGCTTTCCCCACCATTCACTCAACCAGAGGATGCTGGCTCAAGGACAGTCCATGACCCGTTAATATCAAAGGCAAAAGGAAGAAAAATGGAGTCCACAGATATTGGTATCTCCCGATAGAGAAAATCCACCTCCTCCTACGCGTTTCACTCCAACTGGAGCTTCGTCACAGTGACTAGGACCTTGCCTCCTATAAATGAATATGAAGTCTTAGGTTCTATTCACACTTGTGTGACTCCATCGTTTGCCATTTCCATTGCAACTTTGGCTGGTTGTGACTTGGACACCATTTTGGCTTTGACTGTTGACCTAGTTCTGCTTTATGACAACCGTTTGGCGCTCTTCCTTTCGTTTTCACTTGAATTTCTCAGTTGGGAAGGCCAACGCCCCTTCGCTGGGAGCCTTTAATTTTGTGGTAGAGCCAGGGGCGGACTGACCATTTGGAAACTTGGGCACTGCCTGAAGCCCGGGTCAGTAGGGGGCCCCATGGGATGCCCCTGGTACCTTTTTCATAGGCTTTTTTGAGTTTGGGCAAGGACACAGGGGCCCCATGATCTCCCTATTGCCCAGGGGCCCCATGAGTTGTCAGTCCGCCCCTGGGTAGAGCTGCCAAGGTTAAGTCATCAAGCCCAACTATTACCATTTGATTGATGGACAAAAAAAGATTGAAGTCCAACCCTTCACATCTACCTTTTGTTTTTAAACCATTGGATCTGGCAGAACAAAACAAAGTGGTAGGCACATAGCTCACCCACTTCTACTGAAAGGCGCTTAGAGGAGGTACCATTGAAGCCTCCAGAAGGCTCACTGACAGGTTCAGTTGTTCCACCATGAAATGTGTAGAAGTCTCTGGTATCTCTTCTCCAGCTTAAGGGTTTTCCACCCTGGAGCACTGCCATCCATGCAGATTCCCAGCAAATGCTGCACCCAGATGATCAAAAATGTTCTGAAAAGTCCATGCGTTGCCACTTGGGAGAAACAACTGTCCTACTAGATGTTCCTCTACTTCAGTGCAGACTTTCCACCACTCTAATCCGGCTCCGTCACACACTGCTCCACTATCTCCCGAAGATTGGGGTTCTCCATGGCCGCAGACACTCGTTCCTTGTCATTTATCTGCTTGTTAACTTGGAGAAAAAGAGAATCAAAAAGTTACCTAGAATGACACATAATAAAAAGACACAAAATCCACAACTGGTCACGTGTCTAAACTACGAGGGGTGTTCAAGTCAAACCGGGACTTTTGAGTTTCTATAATTTTTTGCCGTACTCCCCTGCTACATTTATACCTAGCCGTGTAACTAATGCCTGGAAAGCTTCGGCATGGAAAGATTTGTCGGGATGCCTGAACCCTCCTAGGACAGCCGGCTCGACTTCCTCACCATTGTGTTCACTGTGCCCACAGAAACATTTATTGGGATGCCTGAACCCTCCTAGGACAATACCTAGGCTTCACTTCCTCACCATTGCGTTCACCGTGCCCACAGAAAGATTTGTCGGGATGCCTGAACCTGCCTAGGACACTACCTAGGCTTCACTTCCTCATCATTGCATTCACCGTGCCCACAGAAAGATTTGTCGGGATGCCTGAACCCTCCTAGGACAGCTGGCTTGACTTCCTCACCCTTGTGTTCACCGTGCCCACAGAAACATTTGTTGGGATGCCTGAACCCTCCTCGGACACTACCTAGGCTTCAAATCCTCACCATTGCGTTCACCCTGCCCACAGAAAGATTTGTCGGGATGCCTGAACCCTCCTAGGACACTACCTAGGCTTCACTTCCTCACCATTGCGTTCACCGTGCCCACCGAAAGATTCGTCGGGATGCCTGAACCCTCCTCGGACACTACCTAGGCTTCACTTCCTCACCATTGCGTTCACCGTGCCCACAGAAAGATTCGTCTCTTGTGCAATTTCACGACAGGTTATGTGTCGATTTTCCAGGATCAGGCGTTCCATGCGCTGAATGTTCACAGGAATGACTGGAACCACCACGACCGGGATCATCACTGATGGACGTACCGATTTCTTTGAAACGTTTCCACCATCGAATGTCTTGAGCGTCTCATCACCGTAATGCGCTTGAAGTCTTCTTCGCTGGTTTTACGCCTTCGTTCACAAGAAACTTCACCACCACACATGGTTCCACACACGCACTAACACGGTTGTCTGCTATCTTGATTAACGGTCTCCAGACTGGCCCGCCACGTGTGCCGTCTATCAGTAATAGGACACACTTGCCACTTACTACTGCATGTAGCATCGCCACGCCAGCATCCCTTTTTATACCTGGAAAATGAAAAGTCCCGGTTTGGACTTGAACACCCCTCGTATTTTAAATATCTTGGAATTGAGGTACTAGAAGGTTCCTCTCTTTATGTTCCAGATAACCTGCAACCTTTGGTAGTCACTTCCATCAGATATGTGGCAGCTGGAAGTCTCTTCCTTTGACCTCTATGGGTGCGGTAATCTTAAAGTGGAACTAAACCCATCAATTTAATAAAAAGTTACATTCCTGGCATGCTAACTGTCACATTTACTTGTGTTCTCAACCCAACTGTCTAAACCCATCCATTTAGCCGTTTAAAAAAAAAATAGTTACATTCCTGGCATGCTGTCACAATTACTTGTGTTCTCAACCCAACTGTCTAAACCAGCAATGGGCAAACTACGGCCCGGCGGACCATTTAATCCGGCCTGCTGAGCTAGGCTCCCGCTAGGCTCCTCTCACAGTCCGCCCTGAAGACCGGTGTAGCATGACAATCTGTCTCCTATGAGGATCTGTCCCCCTCGACGTATCTGCGCATGTGCCGGAGATCGCCGATCGGCTGCTAATGCCTGAAACTGGCACATGCGCAGATACGTCGAGGGGGACAGATCCTCATAGGAGACAGATTTTCATGCTACACCGGAACGGCGCGGGAACACGGCGAGAGGAACGCGCGGAGCAAAGGTAAGTGAATTGACACAGGGGGGACTTGGGGACTTAATATGGGGGATGAATTACTATATGGGGGATGAATTACTATATGGGGGGATGAATTACTATGGGGGATGAATTACTATATGGGGGATGAATTACTATATGGGGGGATGAATTACTATATGGGGGGATGAATTACTATATGGGGGGATGAATTACTATATGGGGGATGAATTACTATATGGGGGGATGAATTACTATATGGGGGATGAATTACTATATGGGGGATGAATTACTATATGGGGGATGAATTACTATATGGGGGATGAATTACTATATGGGGGATGAATTTACTATGCTTACTATGGGGGAATATTACTATACTTACTATGGATGACACATACACATCATTCATCTACTCTTGGTCCGGCCCCGGGTCCAATATATGAACCCATTGCGGCCCTCAAGTCAAAAAGTTTTGCCCACCCCTGATCTAAACCCATCGATTTAATAGTTGAAAAAAAAAAAAAAAAAACAACAGTTACGTTCCGTATGTGCTGGGATTGCGAACTGTCAAAATTGCTTGTACTCTCAACCAAACGATCAAACCATCAAAAGGAGGTGTCCACCAAACTAATCACTCAATAATGGTTCAGTCCACTGAACTGTTCACTTAACGATGGTTCTGTCCACACTCAATGATGGCTCAGTCCACTCAAATGAACAGTTGAGTGGACTGAACCATCATTGAGTGGACAGTTGAGTGGACTGAACCATCAAACGATGGTTCTGTCCACTCAATCAGTGATCAGTCCACTCATTGATGGTTTAGTCCACTCAATGATGGTTCAGTCCACTCAATTGTTCTCGCAATAATGGTTCAGTCCATTCAACTGCCTACTCAATTATTGTTCAGTCCACTCAATGATGGTTCAGTCCACTCAATGATGGCACAGTCCACTCAATGATGGCACAGTCCACTCAATGATGGCACAGTCCACTCAATGATGGCACAGTCCACTCAATGATGGCACAGTCCACTCAATGATGGCACAGTCCACTCAATGATGGCACAGTCCACTCAATGATGGCACAGTCCACTCAATGATGGCACAGTCCACTCAATGATGGCACAGTCCACTCAATGATGGCACAGTCCACTCAATGATGGCACAGTCCACTCAATGATGGCACAGTCCACTCAATGATGGCACAGTCCACTCAATGATGGCACAGTCCACTCAATGATGGCACAGTCCTCACTCAATGATGGCACAGTCCACTCAATGATGGCACAGTCCACTCAATGATGGCACAGTCCACTCAATGATGGCACAGTCCACTCAATGATGGCACAGTCCACTCAATGATGGCACAGTCCACTCAATGATGGCACAGTCCACTCAATGATGGCACAGTCCACTCAATGATGGCACAGTCCACTCAATGATGGCACAGTCCACTCAATGATGGCACAGTCCACTCAATGATGGCACAGTCCACTCAATGATGGCACAGTCCACTCAATGATGGCACAGTCCACTCAATGATGGCACAGTCCACTCAATGATGGCACAGTCCACTCAATGATGGCACAGTCCACTCAATGATGGCACAGTCCACTCAATGATGGCATAGTCCACTC